AGGAAGTGGGGGTGGCGGTCGATGTATGATTAGGGTTATGGTTTGGAGGCGGGTGACAGGTTATATACTCCCGTCACATATCAACCTTTTACCTTAACGACAGATTCAGTCCCTCATTCTCCTTCTTTTCTCAATTTAAGTTTGGATGTTACTAAAAGACCCCTCCTTGACAAAATCTTCTCATCTTAGGTCAAAAACTTACTCTTTAGTCCATGCTTCCATAAGTCCTTGCATATTAAGTCCAAATAATACCATACACCCCTAGACTTATGAAAATCTTTACAAATTAAGTCCCAAAATTACACTTTAACCCCTGGAGATTCAAATCTAGTCATGTGGCTTCCCGAAACCAACACCCCACTAATTATTATTTAATTTTTTTCTATTTAAAATGGGATGTTACATCTAAACCGAAGAAGATTCTGAGCGCACTTGACCTTCTGGTCAGCTGGGCAGGAGCAGGTAAAGAAACATCCCTCAACATCTGATAGCCACCTCATGGAAATGATCGGATCCTGAACCCTGTCAAACATCGGGGGCTTCATACTATCGAAGTCCCGGTACTAGAAAGCTCTCCCATCTCTAATCCCTATCGCAGCGACGGCTGTGGTGGCTGCATGAGCAACAACCTTAGAAAGTGCAACGTATCGATCATCGAAGAACTCCATCATGGTGGTCTTGATAGACCCAAACAACTCCAGTATCTGCCGCTGGACGATGAAAACAATCTCCTCACGGATAATCTCCCTGGCCCAATCCTCATTCAATCATGGACCATCCTGGCCACACGCTCCTGATCCTGATCTGGATCTTGTCTCAGATCGCCTCGTAACCACCATACTGAAAATAAATGAGAGAGATATCAGATAAAATGCATATCATACCATAGGAACCATTCCACAACAGATACCTGGGGGCTGTGGCTTCCCTGCTATGCGTACGGGTCCTATGCTTCCAGTAGTACGGGCCCATACTACCTTCCGCACCTACCTGTATTTGTCTCAGAAGATCGTCACAACAACCCTAACAACACTCACTGGAATAAGCCTATACCCTAATCTCACTTCTTAGAGAAAGGCTAGACATCTCTCAACGGGTTGGAAAACCCCACATAAGTCATCCATGAAACTTCCACCAACCCTGCAACGCTTATGTACGCTAATCATACATAACACTGTATCCTATAGACAGTCGAATACTTGATTCTACCATAAGCCCACAACCATACAAGGAACAGGAAATAAGGCCAAATCAAACATTCTTAGGCTATAAAATCTTAGTTATGTATAATTTTAATTCATACACTAAGCAACAACAATAATGATGTCAATCCCATATAAGGAAGAAACCCTAGGTTATCAGGCATCATATAATCAGGAAATTATATCTTGAAATCGCTGAAGATCCCTAGCCAATCACTAGCATGTTGTTCAATCATAATATAATATCAAATAATAGTGTGGTAACTTGGGGTCTACTTACTCGCTCCAGCTGAAATTACACATCACATCCTTCCTTGGTTAATTTTGAAAACAATTTGAAATCATTTTAAAACCCTTGCAGTTCCTTAGTTTGAGCCTGGATTCACACGGATGTTCCTCTAATTCGCTCAAACCAACGCTCTGATACCAACTTGTAACATACCAAAAATCACAACCAATTTAAACTTTTTAAAACAACCCATTTACTAATAAAAGTGTTTACAAAACCATTGTTTCCAATATTTTATTAAAATCAGAGTCTCGCAAGATCAACAATATCAAATCAGGATGTGTACAGTCACACTTTTGCCTTGCCACGGTCCTCTAAAGTACCTGAAACCATAACCAAAAACTGTAAGCCAACGCGTCGTGAGTTTCCCCCAAAATACCACCACACAAACATATAATCAAGCAGATATCGGGTCCACAAGCTCCTGGTTGGATTACCCCTGGCCCACAACCCTATGGTTGGAATGCCTAATACATAATGGGTCCACAACCTCCTGTTTGGATTATCCCCGACCCACAACCTTCCGGTTGGAATGCCCTGGCCCACAACCTTACGGTTAACATGCCTGGTCTGTTGACTTACAGCACGAAGCAGTACAGTCTCAACCCCACCATACCATGTCGACATGCACATAAAAAATAACATATATCCAACAATAGATAACCATATAAACAGTTGACAGTCTAGCTGCCATAACCACATATCACTATTGCATAACAACATCCTAAATACCAGGATACAGATCTAACAAATCACTACAATATTGAAACATACGGTAAACCAGGATATCAATCCAATAGGCTGACCTTGGTGCCTTCGACCCATAAGTATAGTGAGGAAAACTCACCTCGCAGTCTGACGAAAAGCTGAACGATAAATTGCTCCAAACACCGACTCTGAAGGTCACCTATTCAACAGATAGAGACCAAGGCTCAACTATTGCTTACAATACCCAAAATACCATTAAGTCAAACTTGGTTAAATTCAACGTCAAAGTCAACATCCATAAGTCAACTCAAGCCGAGTACGCACAACGTACTCGACACCTACTCACCGCGTACTCGCGATCCTGATCGAGCTTCTAACAATGTACGTCCAGGTACGCCCACTGTACGCGAGGGATTAAAATTCCAACTTTTAAGGACTTAATCCTTTAAGTCATTTCGTCCAAGTCTCAAATCAAGTCTTAAAACATATACCATACCATAAAGTTTCCAACTTTATGGTTTTACATGCCTAGAACAAGCCCATCATCAAAACCCTAACTCTTCTTAACCACTAAAGCTCTTCATGACATGCATGGAAGAATCTCAGGAGCCAAGATCATATTTTTATGACTCAAAACCTAGAAAAACGTCCAAAAGGACAACCCAATTGTTCTATAGCATGCCATGCACAAGAAAGGCCATATTTAGGACAAAAGTTCATATTATCACCATGCAAGCTAGATCTAGTAATTTAATCAACAAGATGGGAACTTTATATCTTCTGAGATGAAGAACAATGCAAGACTTCTATATCCGAACTTGCTTCTAGCTTCCAAGCTTCACCGCCACCTTCTTCTTCCTTTAGAACACACAAAACACACACTTCAAGCTTCAAAATGCAACAATGGGGCTAGGGTTTTCGTCAAGATTAGGGTTTTCGTCCAGACGGTGTATGCCCAACGTATGCACTGTACGCCCAACGTACTCCCAAAACGACGTTGTTCCTCTTTAATGCTCCTACGCCCAACGGACCATGTTGTACGCCTAGCGTATGCGAGTCCGCCCCAAAATTACAACAATGCCACTATGGGCCATTTTGTACTATTTCTCACACTTAGGGACCAAAATGCAATATTTAATTATACAAAGGATTGGGATTGAAAATACATCAACATCGGGATGTTACAATGTCTTATCCTAGACACTACAGTTTAAACGACGCCCTCTTAGTAGATTGATCATCCTTCACAGTCAATATCAAATCAGTATACCCTATCACAACACCAATCATATCTATAATACTATACACCATATATCTCATAAATCCTCGGACATACATCAAAATGACAAGAGGAAGTGTGTCATCGATAACAATCGCTACTTACCTATTGTAGACTCCTCCCAACATCACCAAAATTGATGTCTTGAAACTTTGTAAAACCAAACGAACTCAAAGTATACGGGAAGCTAGCTACCATATCCTTCACCGACGTGTTTTTTGTGAAAATTTATTTTAAACATGTTGTTTGCCATTTTTCAAACGACAAGATTATCATCGATAAAGAAATTCGAAAAAATATACGTATTCCCCTCCTTCAACAATCCATCAAACTTCCGAATTAGATTCTTTTCTATAGTAGCTAAGATATAGCTTCCCTAACATTATCATATAAACAGACGAACGATAAAAAACTATATAGCAAAACTTTGTTATGACATGTTGATACCTTCTTATCCATTAAAATTAAATCCATGTTGTTCAATTCAGATCGCCTTATATAAAACATGTTGCTTCCATAAACCAACAACCTATCCCTTGAACTTGCGGCCATCGATATTTGTGTTTATCTCACAAATAAAATGATATTGTTAATCCATCAAAGTTACTATTATAGTTCCAAATTATATCTACAATTGATAAACCACATGCCTCATTCATACAAACAACAAACAACAGGTTACATACGAAAATAATAAGGAAGCAGCTGAACAACTCAACCAATAACAATTCGGCTTGGAGACACAATGATTCGGACGACATGTGAACAACTAAAAACGCCAACCAAAAGATCAAACACTGCCATTTAACAACCAAATATAACCCGTAACCGCAGCCAATCGAAGAGCCGACCCCAATTGAACACCACATTAGAAAACGAAGGCATCACATAGGCTATTATTCCCAATCAAACTCAATTAGGCATGCCAGATGGCCTAGAAATCCTCTCATTCCGACATATAAGTAAAAGTACTCTTAAGTTATACTATATGATACATATAATAAATTATCAAAAATCAAAGAAATTGATCATCCAATCGTTATAAATTCAAACAGCACTAACACAGCATTATCTCATACAACAATCTTTTATTACAATTTACAACTTATTATCATAATATCATCGCCCAAGATACACATCTAAATACCCATGGATGGTTTAACCTAAAATTCAAGCAACATAACTTCGAGAAAGTAAACCAATCCTAGAACCACTATTACAAGCCCTTGCTCTAAACCTAAAAACTTTGTCACTAAATAAAGACTCCACTCCCAAATTTTTAAGATTTTGCAATATTTTTAGAATGCTTGTCAGATTGATGAAAGCTGCTATAAAAAACAGCAAAGAAGACACCATCAACGATAATACATTCATTCACATACTAACATCGTCATCATGCCTAAAATGTCTTGTCCATTTTCTTTCTCAACATACAACCAAGACATTACAAAATGAAGTAAAATGACAAAAAAGGACTCAATACATCTTGAATTAGTTCCGTCGAAGGGTAGTTTCCTCAACCTCAGCATCTCCAAGCCGAAACCGAAACGATCTCCCGACGTTGCCAACAAAGAACGAGCTCCGAGTGCCGCTTCTCAATGTGAAATCCCAAAAACGCCCTTTTGATCACATACAACGCTTGATTTTCCGTAAAATTACTAAAACTTATTGGTAAAAATCCAGCCGATAAAAATTGCCCCCTCAAATTTTGAGTCGTTTCCGGGAAAGAATAACGACCCGTTACAATTTTTTCGATGCTCGGTTGGATCATGAATAGTTCGATCTTTTGTAGCGTGTCTACATTCATGTTAACAGCATCGAGAGTCTCAATTAGGTTTGAAAAAGATTGTAGGGCGTAGATTAGATGGTTTGGAAAGGGTAAATCCGTCCTTTCACACCCTCGATCGACAGAAACAACGATTTTTGGAGAAAGATTTTTTACAAAACGAAGAACTAACGGAAACGGGATTTGGGAACTTGGAGAAAGATTCACGGCGATTGCTTCTTTATCAGATACACGAAAAGTTAAAAAAAGAACATCAAGGTTGACTATTTCAAATTCAAAATCGATGTTGATTTCTTTAGCGAAATTGACCAAATTGTCCCTGGTTATGCTGAGTTCAAAATGGTCATTCATGGGTGATGCGAAAGCGGTGATTTTTAACGAGGGGACAAGATTGTTATTGCGTTTGAGCGCGAGTTCTTGCATGAATGATGCACATTGATCACCATACCCAATATTGAAATCGATGATACGTATCTGATTGAATCCGTCTAGGGCTTCGAGAATTGATTGGTTGCACGTAAAATTGGTGAATTGAACGAATGGCGAAACTTCCGAGAATGCTTTGTAAGCACCGATTTTGTGGATGAAACTAAATGGTGAAGAAATTGGGTTCATATTGTTGATGATTGAATGGAGTAGTAATTGAAGAGCTTCCTTGAAATAAAAGGCAGCCCGTTCGAAAGGCTTACCGATTGGAGAAAGCTGATTGAGCCGCGCCAATATCGATTGAGCGAGTATCGGATTGTTCCCGGATTGGATCATGTCTGCCGCTTTGAAAAGCTGATCGATGATCCCTTGATGATGATGGTTATCTGGTTCATCAATGGCGAATATTTTCTTGATTGACGAAGGTTTATGTTGAAGGAATTGAAAAGGGTTTGGTGTTGGGAAGTTGGATGCTGTGCTTCCTGTGTTGTACCTTTTGTGTTGTGATGGAATTAGGGTTTGATGTTCTAATTGTAGAAAAGGAGTAGAATTTTTATCGGATTGAGATGCGTTGATTAAAGTTTGAGGTTTTACGTTCAATGAGGGTATTTGGGATGGGTTTAATTGCGAAAAAATTGCGTATTGAGGGTCTGAAAGTTTCTTATGAAGGTGGTGGTCGGCGAACTTGGCGGGTGCCGCCGGTGGCGGCGTTTGAGGGTTTGCAGATAACTCAATTTTCTCATGAGCGAATTTTTGAAACTGGTGGAAATTACCAATTTGACCAATTGGGTTGTTCGAATCAAACCCTGGATAAGCTTGATCAAAAACACCAAACCCGCCGGTGACGGTGAGTTCACCATCCGCCGTACCACCACCACCGTTTAGCATTTTGTTTAGACCCATTGATGGGTCTTCAACCTCATCCATGATCCACCGGAGAATAGACTGTTCTTGGCCGGATTCCGACAGCACGCTCTCCCAATCCTCCATTTCACCACATTTTACGCCGTTGATATCCAGAGACTGTTCCGATAACAGTTGGTGGTTCTCAAAAACTCCCACATTTGAGCTGTTAGTTTCTTGATTTTCCGGCGGTGACCATTTTATACATGGATTCCCGGAAACCACCTCCGCCGCCAATTCACCATCGCCACCGCCACCCAGGGAAGAAGACAGCGTTGAAGTAGAAGTTGGAGGGCTTGGACTACTGTTGGCGTTATCCAGCACAGATTTCGGTTGCTCGATGTACTTCCTTTGCTTGTTCACCAAATCCTGAAAATTCTCAACTTGATTAACACACGGTAGAACAACCACCTCCGCCGAAGCCGCCGCCGCCGCCACCACCCACTGCAACACCACCACGCGCTTCCCCTCAAATTTAAAGGGTAAGGGCATCCCCTTCACCCAAAATGAAACCACCCACCACTTACCGACGGCCGGCACTATAAACTACCGCCTACCGGATATTCAAGAACATGTAACTCCCATTTGATATTTCTGTTTGGAAACGAAAATTCCTAAAATTTCGACAAATGTATGCCAAAACGAAAAACCCTTTTCAGCAAATCAAATAAGAAAACAAGTCGTTGATTTCTTTTTGAGGATTTTTGTTCTTGTGGTTTGGTTTCTCTCTGTGATTGTAAATTGTGTTCCTTCTATTTTCTGCAATGGATGCGTGCAACATAAAAAAGTGGTAAAAGTTACACTTGGACACTCGGGCCCCTCTCTTGCTTCTTTTGTTTTATTTACCAAAATTACAAAATGGTCCTTGGACTATAGATCAATACTCGTTTTTTTCTCTCTACTTTTAGTTTTATATCAAGAGTCCCTTTAAAAATTACTTTGGAATGTTTCATCTACTCATGTTGCATGTGCTAGTGATCAATATGTCCTATAAGTTGCGTTTTTAAACATCAAACGCACACATTTACTAGTTTTTTTGCCATATAAGTAACTTGTGTTCGCCGATCACGTTGAATTAAAAATAAGGGAAGTAACTAAATAACCCTAACTTGATCTAAAGTTAAATGAACTAATCTAAAAAAATTATAGTAAAATAATCAATTAGTGGAGAATGCAGTATTTCACGTACATGGTGTCTTGAATAAGGAATGTAACTAGATGACCATAACTTGATCTAAAGTTAAAGAAAATAATCTAAAATAAATTACTGTATTTCACGTTCATTAGTGCATAATGTTGTATTTCACGTACATGGTGTGTTACTATGGTCTTCACACACACACACATAATATATATATATATATATATATATATATATATATATATATATATATATATATATATATATATATGTCAGAGAATTAGGTTTAGAATCACATTTTCAACTAAGGAATCTTCACTTCATACATTTCGGATAATAGGTGGAAAAAGATATCCAAAAGAAATTTTACTGCAAAACGGATAACCGCGAAAAGTGTTTAAATATGTTGTTGCCGTCTATCTATGTTAGATTGAATTAACAAGATGAAGAATCAATAACGCAGAACGAATAGATTGAACAATTATGTATATAACTCTGTAATCTCTTTGATTGATCACACATATAAATACAAGAAATGGCTCCAATAATATAAGTGATTATGAGTACGAACAATATGAAAACAGTTAGTCGATATTAAGATATATACCTATACTTATGCATACAAAGACGGTGTAATATATTGGCCTAACAATATTTTAACATGTGTGTATACATATGTTGTAAGATATATATGGATTCAAATATTGTCTCTTTAAAAGAGTCATCATGGAGCAACTTGGACTCCACATATATCTTATATGGTATTAGAGTCGAGGTCAAACACCCCAGTGCCTTAACGTTAGTGTACCTCATATTGATACGATATTGGCCCTTATGTATCTATATATGTTGGTGTCTCCCATCTCTTCACAAGGTTTATTTTGGAGAGATAATATTGTACTCCACATATATCTAATATCATATCAGAGTCGGCTTCCGCACCCCGTGGCTTAACACATCCTTGGACTCCACATATATCTTACATATCTAAGGAGTACAAAATGGAGGTCCCAAACCATAACACTTGAGTATGAACCTAATAGAAACGCGAAATAATAACACAAGTCTTTCACAAATAAAAACCAATTGTTTTTCACTAAGAACGTTCTCGCAAAGAGAACGAGTACTATGATTCAGAAATAACAAATAATCTGAATCCTCTCCAAGAACTTTTAGATCTCTCTACAGAAACTTTCTCTCCCTCAAAATACAATATAAATCATCTCTCAACTAATGAGAGAAGGTAGTATAAATACCAGTCTAACCTAACTGATTATCACAAAGATAGAAAATAAGATTTCTACAAATTTTCCAAATCTTCGATTTAAATAAAATCCTTGATTTGTAGGGATTGAATCTTCTAATATAAATATAAATCTGGGAAGCAAGGAACAGATAAGATCTTCTTCGCCAAGTCATTCTGGTCTGCTCTAGATTCGGATATCAGCACATACACCATATACGCTGTTGGGTCTAAGTGTTGCGTCTTTGGGCTCGGTTAATTAGTCCATTTTGTTTACCCGGTTTGGGACTGTCCAACCGAGGTTTATTATTAGGGTTAGCGTGTATATATATTGCATGCATGTCTAGCATTAAAGGTGTCGACCTCATTATTTGTTTTGCATTGTAACCCTAACACACCTCTACAGTCGAAGTTCTTAATCGAGCTCTTCTGAGATGTGAGTTATTAATCATTTAGCAATATTTGATCCATTCTTGTGTTCTTCTCTTGATTGATTTTGTTTTTCTGTTTGGAATCTATCGATCTATTGAATTATATTCTCATCAATTGGTATCAGAGCAGGAGACTGTGTAATACATACGCATCTCTTCTGTTTGAAGAATCAATTAGGGTTTCCGCTTTTGTCGAATATATAGAAGATGTCTTCTTCTTGTCGACAGTGTATCTGTTGTTCGATAAAACCCTAGTCTCAACATTACAAGTCTGATTCTAGCAGATTCAAAGGAAACGATCATTATGTCTCACGATGACTCTCAAATCAATCCGATTAACATCTCCAACAGTATAGAATCCACTACGAGGGTGCCTATTCTTTATACACAAGACTATGAAGTGTGGGCTCATCACTTTGAAGACTACGTCGTTGGATCTGAAGACAATGGCTATCTCATCTGGGAAGCAATCACATTGGGTCCGTTTGTTCACTCTGGAACGAACAGAACGGTCAAGACACAAAAAGAGTACAATCAACTCTTGGCTGACGTAGAAAAGATCCCTCAAGATGAAAAAGACAAGGTATTATGCAACGTCAAATCGATGAGGATGATCAGATTCGCTTTACAGTCCGATACTTTTCGTCTGGTGAGTTCGTGCACAACAACTAAAGAAATATAGGATAGGTTGAAAGAACTATACTCAACTGATGAGGATCTAGAGCACTCAATCCAAACCCTACTGCTCTCTGAGTTCGGTGCTTTCGTACAAAAACCTGAAGAGAAACTTATTCAGACTTTCGATCGGTTCAACCATTTGCTCAGCAGGATGATGAAGTATGGTATTGAAAAGAAAGTGATCGAGCAAAAGGTGACATTCACGAATGGGTTAAGGCCCGAATGGATGGCAGTGGTCTCGACTGTGAAGGCTCATGAGCAATTTAAATCATATTCACCGGCGAAACTAATGGGCATACTCAAATCTCACGAAAGCGAGGTGACAAAAGAAGCGAAGGTAGTTTCGGGTGTGGGTTCACTGGCCCTTGTTTCTAAAAGCAAGAATGTAGTAGACGAAGATGAGGAATCTGATATGTCAGAGTGTGATCTATCCAACGAAGAGTATGCTTTGATGGTCACAAACCCAAAGAAGTTTTCTCGCAGAAAGTTTCCAGTCAACAAGAACCGAAACTGGCATGGAAGCTATAGTTCTGAAAAGGTGAATGAAGAACCGAAGAACACCACTCAAAAGGATGATGAAAAAAAGGAAAGCAAGCTTGTGGGGGACTCTGGGTACGATTGCAACTACTGTCATAGCAAGAATCACTTTGCCAAGGATTGCATGCTGAGGAAGATGGCTGAGAAAAGGGATGGTGAAGATGACGAAGCGTACTACATGAGAAAGTTAGAAGAGATAAAGAAGAAGAAAGCAACTAACGTTTCTACTAATGCTTTGATTGTGCAGGAACATGATGTTGATAATGAGTTTAGTGGAATAGAAGTCTGGTCTACAGACTCTGAAGACGAAGAGGTTCGTAGACCCTCGCATGGAAGAGCTTATGTGGCGAGAGGAGGAGTTGCTGAGTCGGCTGGGAGATGCTTAATGGTAACAACCGAAAGTAATCATGAGGAAGCGAAAGAAGATAAATACTTCGCTGCCAAGCCTGTGAGTGAAAAGATCAGCGACTGCGATCAGTTGATCAAGAAGGTACAATCTATCCTTGAATCACTCAAAATACCCGTAACAAACTACGAAAAAGAATTAAATGAATTAAAATTCAAATTTTCTAACTTAAGTGGTAGTCTTATGCAAACTCGCTTAGCAAATTCTAACCTAACTGACCAACTCAGCAGGGAGTCTTCCAAGAGTGAGGAAAGAAGGATGTGGATACAGTAGAAGGAGTTAGAGTTAGTTAGGGCTAGGGATGAACTCATTTATGTACAACGAGACAATTTGAAAATTTTAAAACAAAGAAATGTTTTATGTCTGATTGCTAAACGCCTGTATACTAACATCACTCAGTTACATCTAGATTGTGAGATAGGTAAAAAGATTCATAAAATGATTTTGCCCTTCCTTGAATTTAAGGAAGACGAAATCATTGCTGAATGTGAATCTATAATGTCATCAGATGAGAATTTTGTAACCTACAAATATGGACTGGACAAAGTCGAATCATTCATTGAGTCCAAAGAACATAAGTGCATGCTTAAGGACTTACTGGACGAAAACGATAAGTTAAAAATCAAGACCGAGACTATACAGAAATTTGACTCGTCAAACGCCAAATTAAGTTCAGAAAATAAAATTAATTTAGAAACATCTTCTGAATTTGATGAGGATAGTGAGATGAGCGAAATCTCTGTAGAAGACGTAGTCGATTGCTCAGAATTTCTGAAGAGCGAACCTGAAGCAACAAAACCACTTATAGCTGAAAATTCGGTTGAGCATGCTCGGGTGTCAAAAGATAAGTCCAAGAAACTCAAGGAAAAGGATGTTGTTTATCAGAAGGTATACACTACACCAAACCAAGTGTACGCAGTCACAGGTGTATCTAAGAACCAAACGACAGAGTTGACGTCCATAGTTGATCAAGATAACGCTGAAGGCTGCGATAACTACTTCTGGTCTGCTCCTATCGACAATGCAGACGAAACAATGGGTCTGTCAGAGCAAACC